CTCACCAGCAGGTAGCACTCTCTGAGGGCAGGGATCATGTCTTCCTCTACAATGAGTCCCTAGCACCTAGCACAGTGCCTGGTACATAGTGAGGGCTCCAAAACTATCTGTGGACTGGCTGAGCAAATAAATGAACAAACAAACATATGCAAATCTAAAGAAACCAAAGACTCAACAGTGAAATGGTTAGAAACACTCTGGTCTATAGAACTAAAGAGCCCGAACGAGCGGTCATGACCCCGTCCACCAGCCCCGGTGGAATGCTGCTTACTTCCTCTGGATGGAACGTCTTTCTCCAGCCACCCACGTGGGAGACTCTTCTTCATCTCTCGAAGCTTCCACTCAGCTCTGTTTACTCTCTGGAGACTTTTCTAACTTCCCAGCCAGCATGAACACTTAATGGTAAGATTTCTGGCAACACAGTGGATCTCTCCCCAACCTCCTGGTCTAATCACAGAAATATATCAACAAATATATCAACTATATCAACACCTAATGGAATAAATATATCAAGAAAATGATTTTAAACATACGGTGGAAGTTGAAACCAAGAAAGGGAAATCCACAGGTGCTGGAAGCATGGGCCAGGGAGAATGTGTTATTCCCACAAGAGCCCAGGGAGTTTATCAGACCTGGACGGAACAGGCTGTGCTAAAGGCAGCCCTGGGATCTCCCACAGTCACTAAGAGGATGGGATTTAATGCCCATGTGGGGCTAGGAGATGCAGGACCGCAAGACTGGGAGAAGTTCGGGCACAGTTGAGAGTGAACCAAAACAGATTCTAGGAAAACAGTCAGAATGGAGTCCAGACAGATAAAGACATGGGAAATGCAAGAGAGTCTAAGAGACAAGGGAAGTGGAAGGAGGAGGTTCAACAAATATTTAATAAGACTTCCAGCAGAAAAGGCCAGCAAGAGTGGGGTGGAGACAATACCCAAAGAGTAGCAGCAGGGAATGTTCTAGAATTCATGAAAAATACTATTCCTCACCGTGAGACAGCATGAGTCTGGGGAGGTTAAATAAACAGACATCTCTAACAAGACACATTGTAGGGAAACTGTAAAGTAACAAAACAAAGAGAAAAATCTTGAAGGCAACCAGAAAAAGAAAAAGGAAAAAACAGATCACCCAGAAAGTACTGGCAATTAGACAGCAGACTCTCAACAGCAACAGCAGAGGCCAGAAGACCGTGAAGAATGTCTTCAAAGTGCTGAGAAAAAATAACTCTCAGACAAGAATTGTATTCCCTGCACAATCTTCATTAAAGAGTAAGTGGAAAATAGACATTTTTGAAAACAAAGACTGATCCCCTCCCCGCCCACTCACAGCACGTCACTTAAAGGATATACTTCAAGAAATTGAATTCTGAACGAGGGGTGAGACTGAAGCAGCAGTGATGAGCCAACAAACTGGTAAACATGGGAAAACCTAAACAAACATGATTGTAAAAAAACAAAACAAAACAAAAAACAACAAACCCAATAATAGAGACTAATTCAGGTACTATCAAAACAAGGCTGGATCGAAACACTAGCCAATAGGAACATGTACATTGAAGCTGCTTGTTTTATTCAGGACAGTAGAAATATTGTGAACTTTCGGCTTTACAAGTTCAGAACACATGTTAAAATTTTAAGGGTAATCTCCTCTACAAGAATAGAAATAAAATATTTAAGTCTCAAGACAGTGGAGGGGAAAACGCATGATAAGGAAAACTCAGACAGAACCAAACACAGTGGAGGAGGGAAAAAGACAGACCCGAGGAAATCAGAAAGATAACAATAAAGCAGTAGAAGGAAAAAACCCAAACATGCCTGTCACAAGACTTGGGAACATGCTACACTTGACCACTAAAAAGGTGAAGATGTTCATTTGGAATTTTTTAATTACAGATACGCTATTTTACAAGAAACACACCTAAAACGTGGTAATAGTGACTATAAATGGTTGAGAAAAGATATACCGGACAAACACTAATCCAAAGAAAACTGTTATGGGTATTTTACTAGCAGAGAAGACAGGCCATAAAAGCCAGAGGGATAGAAAGGTAACCACATAATTATAAAGGGAAGAGTTGACCAGGAAGACAGGACAAATCTTTACTTGCAGATATGTGCACCAGAAGACAAACCTAATTTATAATTCAAGATACCAGTACTTGGGTATTTACCTTGCTGTTGTCCCTTGTGCCTGGTTCTACTGGGAATTCTGGGTGAATTCAACAGAGGGCACAACTCAGAAATCCCTGGGTCTCTGGTGAGAACAGGTTGTCACAATGGCACAATCCTGGCTGCCCTTAGTGTCCTATTAGTTCACTCTGCATGCCGATTATAGTCTTCAGAGCTGCCATCGCTCTGGTGGTCCCCACTGCTGTGGGACTATTTGTAATTTATTTCTGCATTCTTAGCACCTCCCCTAATGTCTGCAGAGAAAGGGACTCAATATGCACCCATTAAAATTATAATTTTGTGGGTGCCTGGGTGGTTCAGTCAGTTGAGCACCAGACCCTTGGTTTTGGCTCAGGTCATGATCTCAGGGTCTTGGGATCGAGTCCCGCGTTGGGCTCTGTGCTCAGTGTGGATCCTGCTTGTGCTCTCTCTCTAATAAAATCGTAAAATAAAATTATAATTTTGAAGATGATGAAGCCAACAGGATGCATGTCTGTGATATGCATTCCTATTTGAAAAGCACAATGTAAAACTGTAGGTGTATTTTAATTACAAACACATAAAAATTACATATGTATGTGGATACAGGTTAATGGAGTATGGAAACGTGAAAGCAATAAATTTGTTACATAAGGTGGATTGTGACTTTTTGCATTTTATTTTTATTATTGCTCTTATTACTTGTATAATTTTGAAAATAAAAAGAAATGACTATATGACTTTTAGTCATCCAATGAAGTATTTCCTAAAAATTGTCACCATGTATAGACAGAAGAACAGAGCTGTTTTCTGAGCCATGGAAATATTCACTCCTAGGGCCAAATACTGCCTTTTACTCTAGAAGCCATGGTGGCATGACATGGTGATCCTCTCTGGATGTACAGAGGGTCGAGAAGGAAAGAGGAGCCTGTGCAGAATGGATCTAGCTGGCCTCACTTAATACTATTTTTCCTGGGGTGCCTGGGTGGCTCCATCGGTTAAGCGTCTGACTCTTGATTTCAGTTCAGGTCATGATCTCAGGGTGTTGAGATTAAGCCCCGTGTCAGGCTCTATGCTAGAAGCCTGCTTGAGATTCTCTCTCTGCCCCTCCTCCCTCCCGCTCAGGTGCGCTCTCTCTCTCTCTCTCTCTCATAAATAAATAAATAAATAAATAAATAAAATACTATTTTTCCCTTCTTCTCTCTTGCCTCTCCTTTCTAGGTAACCCTAGATGTCCACCGATTATCCAGAATTTCACAAGACAATCTTTCCATTAGCCTCTACCCTACTTCCCCTGAGACAAGGTTCTCTGAGTTACCTGGACAGAGCACCAGGTAATTAAAGACAGTATTCCTTATGCAGAGTCTGGTCTATGTGTACCATTTTCAAAGGAAACAGCGATCCTTGGAGAAATGGGTGATTCCAGGTCAGGGGCAAGAAATGTACCAGAAGAGCCAGAAGCATATCAGAAAGCAAGAGAGCTATCAGGGACTATCAGGGTCGCACCAACAGGACCCAGCAGACAACATGAAAGGCTCCCACTGGCCAAGATGGTACACACTGAAGATCAGTGAGAATAATGATGAACTGAAACACATCAAATATGTGGACGTTCATGAGTTATGATAATTTTTTTTAAAGAAAAATCATTCATTGCTCACTTTGGGAGAATGCTTGGGAACCAATTCATTATTTTGGAAGGTGGTAAGTGAAGGGAAAGAACCAAGAATATCTTGCCTTTCTTAGACTAAGTGTGTCTCATTGTTACCAAGCAGTTGAAGAAGGGAAGTTTTCATTACAGAAGTACTCCTACCAATAAAAGAAGAAATGATAGATGTGGAATATCACCACTTTATAATCCCCAGTGAATACACAGATTTAAGTATGACCCACCATGGCTGCTAACATCATGAAAAGGAAGACAACCAGTCCACACACATGCTTGCCACCACCTAGGAAGTATTCTTGCCAAAACACCTGAACATGTATCTGAATTCTATCCATTTAGGGGCGGGGGATTGGGAATGGGAAACAGGAGGACATGTCAAATGTCACTGTAGATCAGACAGATGTCGGTTGTAAGAAGTTCCACGTAATAAATACTTCATAATAGATACATCATAAAGGAACAAATTAACAAATGGAGAGAGACCCTACAGACTGAAAACAGAATTGTGGCAAATCAATCAATTGCAATGTACAGACCTTATTTGGATCCTGACTCAAATTGTAAAAGAAAATCTGACGCATTCGGTTAGATTTGAACCCTGGCTGGATATTTATTAATATTATTGATAATTCTATTAGGTGCAAACCAGTATTTCTACCATGTTTTTAAAAAGTGTTCTTATCTTTTAGAAAGACGTAGTGAGATCTTTTCAGTGAAATACAATATCTGGTATTTGTTTCAAAAACATCTGAGGTGGGACGCCTGGGTGGCTCAGTCAGTTAAGCCTTCAGCTCAGGTCATGATCTCGGGGTTCTGGGATCAAGCCCTGCATGGGGCTCCCTGCTCTGTGGGGAGTCTGCTTCTCCCTCTCCCTCCGCCCCTCGCCCTGCTTGTGCTCTCTCTCTCTAATAAATAAATAAAAGCTTTAAAAAATATCCGGGGTTAATGGAAAAATGAGCAGGAAGAGAAATGAAATGATGGACCACGAGCTGAACATTGAAGCTGAGCAGTGGGTACGTTAGTGGATTCATTACAGTATTCTCTTTACTTTTGCATGTGTTTGAAATTTTCAAGAAAAAAAAAAAAAAGTCCAAGACATTAATAAAAAATAAATGAAGCTACTCCTTACTCTCACGGTTGACGTTTGGGGAAAAAAAGTGCCAAGGAAACAATGGGACTCTTACCTTTTCATTAACTGGATAAAAATTCTCCTTGGTAATCGGTATACAAAGGTGTCGAAGACAATCTTTAGGTAATTCAAAGACACATATCCACTTTTGGAGGGGTCCCCTGCACTCAGGGCTTTTTCAACCTTTTCATAAGACTTGGGAAGCTGCAGGGAATGAAAATTCGAGCGTTGCATTCATAGAAATCCACTTCACAGAGCTATTCAACCAGTTTATTTCTACCAAAACCTCGTCACATTTTCCCCTCCAAAAACTGATCAAAAAGGTTACGATGGCATGTACTGAACTTCAAATGTTTAATTGATGAGCTCGCTACAGAACGGTATCCCCAGTCACAGCTACTCAACTGACAAGGCAGACAAGTTTCTCAGGGAAAAACAGCACATATAATAGCTCCACCTCAAATTTCAGAGCTAAAAATATTCGGTGGATCTGCCAGTTTGATACATCTTTCTTAATATACTTTCAAGCCATTCCTACTGTGAGCCCATGCTAGGTTTCTCCTGATTAAGTCAGGTCAATCAAACAAAAAAGCTGGCAACATTTTATTAAAAACAGAAGTAGCTTTTAGAGTAAGGACAATCATTAATATAAAGATTGCATAAACAGAGTACACTTTGTACATTTCTTTAATTATTCTTTTTTTTTTAATGGGGAATCACAAAGAATCAGGGTGAATGAACCTCGCTTATGGGACTTCTAAAATTCAGTAAAGTGGGTTAACCACTGATTTTTATATGGCTCATAAAAATACGATGAAGATTGGTTTTATTTCCAAAGGTTTTCCTGCTGTTTGTTATTGAGTAATAACAATATTCTCCGATATTTCCAACCCTCTCCACTTTGTCTGAATTCAGTTTTCCCGCTAACTGCAATGAGAAACAAAATAACCATCAGCCTGGTATATAAGGTGACTTAAAAAAAAAACACCCAACCTGTTGGAACATAGAAATACATGCACAAGAGTCTCTACCCACCAAGGAGTAAGAAGCAATTCTTTGAAATTTCCATAGGGTACACAGGAACGTTGGAAAACTAATGGGAAAACCTTTAAAAATATTTAGAGAACTGCAGGGCCTAAATTTCTTAGAAAGTTGCACAAAACTAACCCAAAATGTGGCTAAATTTGCCCCTATCTCTTTCAGGGAAGTGGGTTCACAGAGAAAAGCCAAAGCCAGATGTGGAGTACGGTCTCAGTGTATTAACTGGATTAATGAAATCCACTTTTAATATCTTGATGACATTGGTTTCCATTGAGGTTTTTTTCTAGGAGAATGTTTTTGACATAATCAAGAGATTTTAGGAAAAGAGCAGGGAGTGAAACAGACATAGTATCTTGGTGATATGTATAAACCTTTAAGGGATTCTCATTGTGACTGTTTACAATGAAACAAAAGGGAAAAATGCAAGCAATTCAGCAAAGTAAAAAGAAGGACATAAAGATATCTGGAAGTCTCTCCATCCAGTTTTTTTATATAGTGTTGCAAAAACTCCCATAATGATCGTATAAACATATAACTTTACGAAAATGCGATCATGGCTATACATTCAGATGTGACAGGTGCTTTTTTCATTTAACATTATATCATGATATTTTTTCCTGTAAGAACTTATATCTACATCATGCTTTTAAGTGATGTGTGGCATGCCATCATGTTACTGACAGACCAGAGAAAGATACGCTAATTTTCTGTTTGTACATTTAATGTGTATAAATGTTCCCTTGATCCCCTATCTAAATGAGGTCCTTTTCCGTATTTGTCGCATTTATGAATGTGTTTGTTTAACACCTCTCTCCCTGATGGGAGTTCGTGCAATCTCCACGAGAGCATATTTTGTCTGTTTTGTTCACTAATAATTACCTAGAATGAATCAGAATTTGGCATGCTGCAGCCACTCAATAAACATTTGTTTAAAACGAATATATTTTTACCAAAAATGTTCTAAAGAAAGGTTGCAAAATGTAAAAAGCTATGACACATAAAAATTAAAATCATAGCCGAGATGACATTCTATCTGCATCAGACTGTAACAATATTGGGGCCCCGGGGTGGCTCAGTCGGTTGAACATCCAACTCTTGGTTTCTGTTCAGGTTGTGATCTCAAGGTTGTGGGATCCAGCCTTGCAATAGGCTCCGTGCTCAGTGCGGATTCTGCTTGTCCCTCTCCCTGTGTTCCTCCCCTGGCTTGTGCTCTCTCTCTCAAATAAATACATAAAATCTTAAAAAAAAAAAAAAAAAGTCTAACAATATCAAGCGTTGGTGAGTAGGTTGAACAACAGGAATTCTTTCTCATATGCTTCAGGTGGGAGTGTAAATTGATATTTTGAAAAGCAATTTGATACTGCCAATTAAAGCTGAGGAGCATGTCTGCTACAACCTGGCAAGTAATTCCACTCATAAGCATAATTCCTAGCTTTGCACAGGTGCATCAAAAGATACATGTACAACCACTTACAGTGGCATCATTTGGATTAGCACAAAGCAGGAAGCAATCTCAATGTCCATCCATAAGAGAATGTGTGATTTGTGTATATGTAGACAACGGAGAACTGTAGGAAGAAAGAAACAAAGAAAAGAAAGGTCAGGCAAAAAACAAAGAACCCAGTCTGTAAGGAAACATAATACAAACAAATACAGACACATCACCTACAAAGGTTTCATGCCAGAAAAAGAAACTAAGAATATGAATTCGTTATAAGAAAAGCTTGAAGTCAGGATGACAAAACAATGAAAGGGAAGGGATATTTCAAAGCGAGGAAGCTAGAAAACAAAAATAATATCATTACAGGAGTTAATAAATTAGAAACAGCAAGTGTAAGAGGCAAGGTTGAAGTTCAACTGAGTAATGAAGGAATGGCTCGGAAGACTCTCACTGAAGGTGGAGGAGAATGGCAGGACCAGAGCAAGTCAGGAAGCAGGTGCCAGCTCTGGAGGACAGACCAAGATGACCCAACGGGAGGATAACTGGGAATAACCCTGAAGGAAGGGCAGACGCAGGGAACACAGAGGGAAGGAGGGAAGGTGGGGGAAGGTTTTAGTGACACAGAAAAAGTTTTCTGGAAATGAAGGAAGGGCTGGATCTGTCCATCAAAAGAACACCCTGTGGTCCAGGAAACTTTGACAAAATGCTTAATGCAAGTACAGCTCAGTTTCACTTTTTAATTTCAAGGATCCAAAAAAACCCCCAAAACAAAAAACAAAACTTCAGGCATCCAGGTAGAAAAAGAGAATCACCTACAAGGGGCAAAAACAGCTGTTGACCTCAGGCTTTTTCTCCTGAACACCCAGTGCCAGAGGACAATGGGATGATGCTTATAACATTTTGAGGACGAGAAAGCAAGATGGAAGAATTACACGCAGCCACGCTGTTCGAGTAGGAAAGTCAGAGGCAGACAGTCTCAAGTATGAAAAAACAAAGGGAATAAAGCACCCAAGAGCCTTTCTTAAGGAAATTACTTGACAATGAAATCCAGCCAGCCCCAAAATAAATCAAAATAATGAACTCTGAAAGGAATTAACTATGGTAAGCACTGGAGTGTAGTGATGTGCATTAAATCCACGTAAATACGAATCGAAGACAAAACAACTGGGGGAATTATAGGAACACAACGAAATGTAAATATCAATATTGTTGTAAACCCTGACTAAGAACAAAACAGAAACAACAAAACTTGTGAGGTGGGAGGGAGGGGCGAAGAAGTGAGAGCCCACCCTGCGCTGCCTGTAATCGAAAGATCCTTCAAAAACACCATAATTTCTGCAACTCTTAATGGCTTTCTTAATCTCTTTTCTTGTCTCGAAGTCCCTTTTGGGACCTAATATATCTTGTGGTAAAGAAATGTTTGTCCAAAGTACAGATACATCTTCAGCTTCACTTGACGCTGGACTTGGCAAGAACTTGAACTTAAACCCGGCCCCAGTCCTGACTGGTGGTATAACTTTGGGCTGGTCATTAAACCCCTCCATGCCTCAGTTTCCTCAGGTGGAAGATGGGATGATAACAGTGCCTCGCTCACAGAGCTGCTGTGAAGACTGAGGAGGGGAACACCCAACAGGGCCTGGCACACGGGAGGCCCCACAGAAGGGTTAATTACCAGGGCGGCCATGTCTCCTTTACTTCTGGTAAATTCAAAGACGTTTAAATTAACTATGTCTTATTTGTAAAAAGGAGCATGATTCTCTTCTTATAAAATTATTTCTTTCCATGTATCCACCCACCCACCCACCGAGGCAGCCATCCTTCTATATATATGAATAAAGACAGACCTAGAATTATGTTCGCCAAATGTTGCCTTTGATTATTTCTGGGTGGTGGATTTTGAATAATTTATACTCTCTTCTTTGTACTTTTCAGAATTGCTTACTTTTTTTGTAATGCTAATGCATTTTGTAATGGTTCTGTTTTTATGAAAACAATAAATTTATTAACAACAATAACAGAAAACAAGTTTTACTAATTTACCAACACAGTATTGCATATACTCACTTCTCCAACACCTTGATGAACACTGGCTTTTGTTAATTTTTTTCCTCATTGACATTTTTCTCCTGAAAATTTTATATTCATTGTTAAAGGTTCTACGTACCTTCAGAATAGTTACGATTTATCTCTTGTTTATGCGGCCCATATTTTGTCAAGTTTCCCATTTGTTACACAAAATTTTGCTGTACAAAAGCTGTTCATTTAAATGTAATCAGATGTACCAATCTTTTTCTTTATGGTTTTTGGGCTTTACATCATGCTTAAAAGGTAGTCTCAATTTCAAGATTAAAAAACTTTCACCCACATTATTTTTAAATTTGAATAGTTGATGCATATAGAATTTACTTTGGTGTGAAGAATGGAAGGTTACAAGCTTTTTCCCCCAAATGGCTGCCTAGTGAATTATCCTAATAATTACACTCCCCAATCCCACCACACTTTACTGACTTTATTGGAATGGCTGATATCATATGCTAAATTCACATATAAAGATCAATCCATTACCTAACAATAATTGGGTAAGACAGTGCCATATAGTCTTAAATATTATACCTTTTGTAAGATTTTTTTAAAGATTTTATCTTTAAGTAATCTCCACACCCAGCGTAGGGCTCAAACTCACAACCCTGAGATCAAGAGTTGCATGCTTTATCTACTGAGCTGGCCAGGCACCCCTATAAATTATTTTTTATGTGGTGCTGTAGATTCTTTATTATAACTTTTCAAAAGAAAAAAAAATATATATGTATATCTCCATCCAGATATAGGAAGAGCAGATATCGATGCTGAATCTTCCTATCCAAAAACCAAAAAAGAGCTCTTCATTTATTCAAGTTTTCCTTTATTTTACTCAATAAAGTTGTCTCATGTCCTTATAGAAGTCTTGAATATTTCTTACCAGATTTAGTCTGTGAGTAGCACAGAGGAGATACTTAAGAATCAGCCTCCCACCCCCTTTACTATTACCAACGGACTGTCATCAGGAGTTGGAGGAGGCCTCAGGGTTTGGGGAGGTGGAGGTAAGATCAAAACAAATTTTAGAAATAATGTTCAGACCTAATGGTTTTTCACAGCTGTCAATTTCTTCTGCTCATGCTTTAGAGGACCCTGGTGTTAGGGAGACACTCTTACCTCTTGGCAAAAGGTCCTCTCAATTTCGTCTAAGGAACAGTTTTTCCAGACATCTTCCGATGAAACAGAGCTGTGGAGGCACTCCCCTTTGGAATTTTTGACTGGCTGATTGTTCCATGAGATCTCTGCGAAAACAAAAGAGCTTCCGCTTATTCATGTCGCCAGAGGTACATTTAAATACCCAGTGTTCCCTTTTCATCCTCACCTGTCTGATAAAAAGTAGGACCAGAATGAATTAAAAGCATGATGAGCCAGGTAATAAATAGCATTGAAATAAATGGCTGAACATTTTAGAAAAAAGTGAATCTACTTGCTATCCTGTGTTAGGATAAACCTGAGGTAGAGTAAAAAGTACACCAAGTAAAATAATAAAACCATGAAAGCAACAGAGGAAAATTAAGATGGATATTATATAGTGTACAATCTGTGTGTGTGAAGTCCTTTCCAAGGAACACACTACAGCCCCCAATCATTTAAACAATGGATAGGTCTGACAGTATAAATATTTATTTTTTGTTTGGTTAAAAACACACACACACAAATCACAATGAAAGAAAAATGAGTGAGAAAAACTGTAGGTTAATTACCATGATGCACGAGTAGCTCTTACAAATCAATAAGATAAATACTCAACAGAACAATAGACTAAGGTTATAAACAGGTAATTCACACAAAAAGAACTAAAAAGCCCGAGATGTATGAAAAACTCAAACTCATTGGTAATTTTAAGTCTAATGAAAACAAGTTAACAATTTTTTCCACTTGTCAAAGAGGCATGGATAAAAGGGAATGATAGAGAAATGAGTTCTAGTTTGTGTATAGAAAACCTGGTACCTGAATACTCTTAAATCTTCTAGATTTTTACAAAATGGAATTATAGGACTACTCAACAAACGTATATGGGTAGGGGTATTTCCTGCACTGTTTAAAGATTTTTAAAAATTAAAACAATTTAAATGCCCATTAATAGAGGATGGGTTTTATAAATTATGGCTCATCAAGCCTCTAAAACACTACAGACATTAAAAACAAAGGTGCCTGTCTAAATTAACAGGTGTGGAAAATTTTCCTTGATATATATTGTTTCATGATTGAAAGAAAGGATGACTAGCATAATTTAATTTTCATTCTAATACTTACGTTGTGTATTTGCAGGTCTATCCATCCATCTATCCATCCATGCAGCAGAAAATAAATTGGGGAGGACAATACACCAAAAAGAACACAGTGGTAGGATTCAGGTGGAAGGATTACGGGGATTGTTATTCGTGTTTTTGTGCCTTTTTTGCAGCCAGCATGTATTACTTTTATAATAAAAGAGAATAAAATAAATCTAAAATATAGCCATTCTCAAAGTCGACTGCAAAGAATCACGAATGGTTTCCCAGATTTATTTCCTAAAATGTCTGCAAATAAGCTTCACTCAAATTAAGCACACTTACAACGACTCAGCTGCAGTTAACAAAGTGCCAGTCATCTGGAATTCCATTTCCTACCTCAAAAAAAAAAAAAAAAAAAAAAGAAAGAAAGAACAAAGTAAAAGAAAAACAGCTTCCCCCAGTGGACCCCGCTGGCTACATAATGAAATACAAAGGCAGAACTTGGTCTGGAATTCTGTGGCCTTGGTGGGCCAGGCATTTGAAACTGGGATCTCGGAACACACACAGGAGCCTCGAGTGGTGGGGAAGCGAACCCACGAAACCAGGCTCTGACTCAGGTGGGCACACAGAGCCCGGTTTTCTAATCCCGCATCCTGTGTGTGGGCTCCCCTCTGGGGCACTGCTGCTCTAATGGTGGATGATAGGGACACATGGCACAGCGAGGGAAACCCATTCTTGCTCTGCCAACAACAGGCCAAGCTCTGGAGGGTGGGGGTGGCTGGGGGGCGGGGCCTGCCCTCGGGGAGCTCACAGTCCAGGGACCTGGGCAGTTACGCTGCCACCCCAGGCTGGCTACAGAACTCAGAACTGCAGAACTTCCAAGGTGTGTCTCGTCACAGTCAGGCCTCACCCATCAGCCCAGCTTAATAATTCCTCCACCTGCTAATTTCCCCCAAAGGGTCTTTGCTGATTGGAAATGGGGTAGAGAGGAGATCCAAAGCTTACATGTGCACTTATATATGTCATAGGTGCAGCAAAAGGAAACCCACCTCCCAATGTCACTTCTTCAGGTGCCAGATAGTGCTTTTGACAAGCAAGATGATGGCTTCCTAAGAATATAAACACAGCGGAACCATAAAGATGCAAAATTAACAAGAAACTCTGTTCTATATATTTAGAAAAGTCGAAAGTGTGGTCCCTGCAAATATATGACCTAGAGATTCCCTGACATGGGTAACAACAGCATCAAATCCACCAACAGCTCCTGGTAATGAGTCCCTGTAGAACACATTTTCCCCAAAAAGGAACCGACGTGAGCAGATTGTATCCTTATCATTCACAGTTCATAGACAAGAGAAAAGCAGGAGTTCATATGAGAAATAGAAACAGATATAAAGAAGTATGTGGAATGATGTGCTTACTTAAGAAAGTGAGATTTTGGGAAAAATGCAAATAGGGGACATATATATTTTTAAATATTTTATTTATTTATTTATTTACTTATTTATTTTAAAGAGAGAGAGAGCAAGCATAAGTGGCGGGGGGCCGGGGGGGTGGGCGGGGAGAGATGAGCAGATTCCACACTGAGCATGGAGCCCAACGCAGGGCTTGGTCTCATGACCCTGAGATCATGACCTGAGCTGAAGTCAAGAGTCAGACACTTAACCAACTGAGCCACCCAGGCACCCCGGGGACATATATTTTAAAATTATTGCTCTCTTGAGAATATCTTCCCCAAACCACCACATAGAAAACAAATATTATTAAACACTGGTAAAAATGTCATTCTAGAAAAATCAGAAACAGGACAGTACTTATCTGTCCATGTGCTTCAGGGTTGGAGTGCCAAGAGAAGAATTTCTCAGTGGAAGCTCCGAAGTGAGTAAGATTCAGAAACTCTGAAAACAGTACGAAGGTGAGGAGTACTCATTCTGGATCTGATCACTGACTCTGCAACCTTCTGTTACCAGCTACGCAGGCTTGTGCTTTGGGGTCCCCGTGTGCAAGAAGAAATGGACAGAAACACCACGGGGTTGCCAGGAGGATTTGACATGGTGATGAATGTGTAAGGGCTGGCACTCACTAGACACTCAGTACACATTAGCTGCCTATTGATTAATGAGAAAGGTTTTAAATGATAGGAGACAAGGAAGAACAGTATCAATCAGAGCTAGAAAAACTCTGAAATTGGATGACAGAGCTCTGAAGCAAATTAGAAATAAAACTGTCTCAGAAACAAAGACTGAACTAAAAGGAACACAAGAGCAAACAAACAACAGTAAGAGGGGGTGAAAAAGAAAAAAATTGTATCGAGTAAGCAAAAAAGAAAAAAGGCAAGAAGGAAGGCTTGCAAAAAAATTATAGTCTAAAAAAGAAGCTAGGAAAAGAAATCCAAGATACATGTAAAAGGTATCATTGGGAAGAAAATCTAAGGACTGAATGGTTCAGATGCTAAAAATTGCAATTCCAGAAGTCTTCCTGAAATAAAAGACTCAAACCTGCCAATTCAGATAGCATACAAATACTTACAGAATAGTCATGAGTGTCCAACATCATGACTCATTCTAGCAAAATTACTGGGTTTTAAATAAAAGGAAAAAAAAAATTCTCTGGATATCCGAACAAAAAGACGAAGTCACTAATAAGGGAAATAAAGTCAGACTGTCATCAAACTTTTCTTCAGCAAAACTTCAGGTCACCAGGCGATGGGTAAAAAAATTTAAGATCCTTAAGGAATGAAAATCTGAGCTAAGGATTTTATATCCAAAGTGATTTTTTTGTTGTTGTTGCTTGTTTGTTTTCAACATTTTTTATTTAAATTCAATTAATTAACATATAATGTATTATTGGTTTCAGAGGTACAGGTCTGTGATTCATCAGTCTAATATAATATCCAGTGCTCATTACATCACATGCCCTCCCTAATGTCTATCACCCAGTTACCCCATCCCACCACCCCCCTCCAGCAACCCTCAGTTTGTTTCCTGTGATTAAGAGTCTCTTATGGTTTGTCTCCCTCTCTGGTTTCACCTTGTTTTATTTTTTCCTCTCTTCCCCTATGATCCTCTGTTTTGTTTCTTAAATTCAACATATCAGTGAGATCATATGATCATCTCTCTGTCCCTCTAGATTGATTTATCTCACTTAGCATAATACCCTCCAGTTCCAACCACATCATTGCAAATGGCAAGATTTCATTTTTTGATGGCTGTGTAATATTCCATTGTATATATATACCACATCTTCTTTATCCGTACATCTGTTGATGGACATCTGGGCTCTTTCCATAGTTTGGCTATTGTGGACATTGCTGCCATAAACATTGGGGTGCACGTGCCCTTTTGAATCACTACATTCAGACAAACTGATTTTTTAACTATACAGGCCTCATACAAACTGTCATGAACATGTAAGAAATCAGAGAACATCATTTCCATGAGCACTTCACAAGAAATCTACTAGAGGACAAGCCTCAAATAACCAAAATGATGAGAGAGCCAAGCACGTGAGCAGATGTGATAAAGGTTTTCGCTCCTAATGTGGCAATCGTATGGAAGCTGAGTCAGTGGCACAGGAAGACTTACTTCCTTATGACTTACACAGAGAGAAATTAGAAGGTGAATCAAAACCTACAAAGGACTTTCAACTCTTCCATATAATGTCACTGTCTTCTTTGTTTGATTGATACCCTGAGCAACCTATCTGGATTCCTTGGCTTTTCCCGTTAGTAAGGTGGGGATTCAAATTAGCCAACCCATGGTCCAAATAAAATAATTTCCATGATAAGCCAACCCAGAAAGGATATGCTGATACCTTAATATTCAGACTTTGGGGCCGAGGATTTTGAGCTGATGGGATGGCAATGGGGATGATGACCAGCTGGTGCCAGGGACTCATCCTTCCCCACTATATACACCAGTAAATAGACCTCTCTGTTGACAACCACAGTATAGAGCTTTAATATAATGCAGTCCATAGCCCCAGATTACTACAGCTGACCCCTGAACAGCATGAGGATTGGGGTGCCAGCCCCCACACAGTTAAAACTCTGCATATAACTTTTGACTCCCCCAAATTTAACTACTAATAGCAATAAGAACTTGAGCGAACACTGCAGGAACAGAAATATACAGGAGAATAACCAGATACATATCTCATATTGAATCGAATTGAAAATGCCTCTCATTGTGACATGCATCATTATTTTATGTATCCCTAACAAACAAAAAAGTTGCCAATTATTGATAACAAAATGGAAAAAAAAAAACAATGAGATTTCCATGTTGTAACTGAAACTGTATTATACAACTTACCTACTTACAATTCCTAATGACATAAGCCAAAGAAAAAAATAGTAAAAATTAGAAAAATTTTACCAGCATAGACTGAAGCAAGAAGAAACTCTTAATTTGGGCAGCCAGCAAGTTCTGCTTTCAATTTAGTGGACTGGCTCATATTGAACCTATCCTCCCAGCAGATAACAATTATAAACTCTGGCCAAAATATAAACAAAAAACTATCTGAAGGCATTAGAGAGCAACTGATATAAACTGGAGTCGACACTTGGAAAAATAGGGTAACACTTGATACATTTCTTGTTATTTCTGGCTTTTTGCCTGAGGGCAGGCCTCAGCCAAAAAGATGCTAAATGGATAGAATTTGGACATAAACCCAGGGTCCTGCTGGCTTTAGGAAACAGAAAACAGAGTTGAGGACTATACAGCAGCTAGAAAGTAAGAAAGTAAGGAAAGCCCCCCAAAAGAAAAGCACAGAGGATTTCTAACGTCTGTGCATAATTTCTGCCAAGATCTTCGGCTAACCCCTGAACAAGATGTGTAGAGCAGACAATAAGACACCCAGCTAAGGCTAAAATAGCATAACAAAGATTTCAAGTGTGGAAGTCCTCAGGGGAGACAAAGATTAGAGTCCGAGTGCAGGCAAATAAACTGGCTGCTAAAACAAATATTAAATTCCTCAGAGGCACATAACAGAATCTACAGTCTCTACAATGCATGATTTACTCTATCCAGGATAAATTCCAAAATTGCGAGACATGGGAAAGACAAAACAAAACAAAACAGGAACCTGTGATCCCTATTCAAGAAAGAAAAGAAAAGGAATCAATAAAGACCAGACTCTGAGATGACCTAAATGTTGGAATTAGCAGATGAAAATTTTAAAGCATTTAAAAGTTTAAATTTCAAAATAAGTGTTTGAGAATATAAAGGAAAATATACTCTTGATGAGTGAACAGATAGAAAATCTCAGCAGAGCAAGAGAAGCGGCATTCTGTGTTTATAGCATATATAAAAGTACAACGTGTAATAGCAATATAACAAAATATAGGAGAGACGAATGGAAATACTGGTGGTAAAGTCCTTATACTTCATGTGAATTAGTATAATATTATCTGAAGGTAGACTCTAATTAATTAAAGAGGTATAATAGAATAAAAAATTATCCATTTACCCAATGTTCTTGAACTTATTAAAACTCTACTGGAAAAGTGTCAGGGGCTGGTGTAGGTGTACTGGGAAGGAAGGAGAGTAATACAAAAGGCAAAGATCCCATCTTGGAATAAAATGTAAAAGGTACACAGTACTTTACAGAACATCTTAATAAGAATACACGTTCAGTAAAACAAGATGATAAAACAACAAAATGAGAGGGAAAGTAATATAGTAGACCAAAGGAAAGGCCATGATAGAAGTAATAAATAAAGTAGAAATAGCACAGAATAAAATCGACCTTGGTAAAAATCAAATTACAGGTAAAGATAAAAGACCTGAGATGATCATTGTGACTGCCGAGGAAAAGGTCAAAGAGAATGTAGCACTTTGAGACCATTTGATACAGAAGACAAAGACAATCCAACATAAGGATAATTTGTATCACTGAAGTTAAAGATCAGAAAAATGAAACCAAAGAAAATTTATTCAAAGATATATAATATTCAAAAAAAAATCTCGAAACAAAAAAGTAATTGGATCTGCAGATTAAAAATACATTGTGCTTTGGAAAACATACAGAAGGCTCAACAGCAAGACATATCCTAACTATGTTTCTGAAATTCAGGGACAAATAATTCTTTGGGGCAGCCGGCTAGAAAAAGCACACGACGAGTAAGAAAATTAGGTAAGCCTCAGACTTCTCCATAGCCAGACTCAGTACCAGAGGCAGCGGGTCAAAGTCCCTGACGTTTGGGAACGTGGGACCCACGGATAGTATATCCAGCCAAGACATACTCAAGATTTTCTGCAGTTTCATTTCAATTCCTATTCTTCTTTAACACTCAAGGAAAAGTAGACATTTATATAAAATAGCATCTATATGAACCCAGTTTCACAAATGTATTTCTTCCTATCTGTCTCTCCTTTCCACAGATCTGCATGGAAAGATACCAGGAATCATGCTGATGGTGGTTAATGCTGGGTGGTAGGATGGGCTTGTTTACTTCAATCTTTTCACTTATCTGCCTCAGTGCCTGCCTCACAGGACTGTGGTGAATATGGAAAGAGACAGTACAGGAATGAGCTTAGCCTAAGGCCTGGCATGGAACAAATGTTTGGTAAGTGGGGTGGAGCATTACGGTTCTCAAATTAGGTCTATAAACTTAATTGTGATGAAAATTTTCTATAATCAAGCGAGACACCACCTTATATCCCACTTAGGCAAAATGCACAGCCCATGCTTCAGCCCAACATGCCTCCACCCCAAAGGCCCTTGGACTAGAATGCTCTCCTTCCCTCCATGCTTGTCACATGCATTCTGTGAACTCTGGCCCTGCAAAAGTGCCTCCTAGCTCTTATCCGGATACCCCTCTTCCTCCTGTGAACACCCCAAGACATTTTGTTCTTCCCTCTCAGGCATTTCAACAGTCTGCTTTGGAGCTAAACAGTTCAAATCTCAACTCCACCAAAAATGAGCTATATGACTTTGGGGACTTCATTTGGCACCCTTGAGTCCATATTTTCTCATCTAAAAAATGGGACAATAATACCCATCTCACAAAGGTACTAAGAGAAATCAAAATTAAAATTAAAGCTTATAAAGTATCTATATAAAGCACAAAAATAAATGCTTTTTATTATTATACTCTTTATGTGACTTACTTTATGCTTTACCTGCCCTGTTTTTTAAAAATTCACACACATACACATGCACACACACACTCCTTAAAGATAGAGTATGTTACTTGGCTTTGAACCCTAGTGGTATAAGGATCTGCATATGAACTAACAAAACATAAGGGATGAACAGGTCCTTGGGAGATCATCCTATCTAGTAATTCCCAAAACTTGAGAGGCTTTTAAAAGGAGAGCCCTGGAGTCTGCTCTCAGTGATCTTAGGGAAACTGAGCTAAAATCTGAGAATTTGTCTTTGTTAAGTATGCTAGTGAGGCAAATCTGAGAATTGCAGAAGATGCTCAATATTTGTTGTATTGAATTACATGGAAACCAGTAACACCATGTCTTGAATGAGCCATTCATAGGTGATAAGCCCCTGAGGCAAGAAACCACTTGCCTCAAATGACCAAAGGCCCAGAGGAGAAACCTCCCAACTGCATTCTTCATAAATTCATCCTCAGGGAACTGGACTCTGCTCTCTCCAGAACTATGTAGCAGGTCAACAACTCTGGGCACTTTGTTGATGAGGCTGGGATAAACGCCATCAGTGCAAGGAAAAATTTTCCTTCTCAAGGTTATATGCCTGTACAAGCCTGGCTTTACATGTCCAATATAATGTATAAACCATGCAGCTATTTGCCCTTTTATATAAAGATTTTTCCCATCACAAAAGGAGTAACAGGTTCAGTATACAAATTTTTGAAAATACAAAAGCAGCAGAAAAGAGAACCAAATAACACCCAGAGACACATCACTTAAAGACAATCTGTATTTTAGAATTTCTTTCCCATCATTTACTGATACTCAGCATACATGTTCCATGTTACCATTAACTTCATGGAAATCATTGCTCGTGGCTGCACATTTTACCGGATGGATACGCTGTGACTCACTGAACCCTTTTCCTGTTGTTAGACATTTACGTTATTCTTCCAAATAACAATGCCATGGCTATCTTTGTGCATAATGCAGTTTCCATATCTGAAAGTATTTCCTCAGAACAGATTCATAGAAGAGGAATTATCATGCCAAAGGATATTGAAATCTTTAGCTATATACTTATAAAACACTCACCTTGATTTCCCACAGAATACCTAAGATTCAAGTCATTATTTACACTGAGGTTCTTCAAAAAAACATTATAATCCACTGCAGTATCTTTATCAATGTTGTAGTGTTTCACAAACCTGGAATAGAAATGTTCTTTGGTAATCAGAAATTATGATATAGAGAATCTAAAATGAAGCAAGGTATCCTTTAACACGGGGGCTGGCATTCATTTTAATGTGTTTCTAGCTAGAGCTGAAATTAAAAAGTGAACCCTAGGAAGTGTTACTGTAAGATTAAAACACACAGACACTTCAGAGGGGATCGCTGTACTTGGCCTGCTGATGCGTGGGTACAGACACGTCTCAGTTCTCGTTTTCTCCCTTCTCTGGCAGGAGGATGGGGTGGCCATGATTCAGGCCATACGTGGACAGCAAAAGCAGGTCCCATTTGCCTTTAGTAATTACGGGGCCATGATGTGGACCATGAGTCAATTAGCGCAAAGCCTCTATAACCAGAGACATCTAGAGCTGGGGGAGGGGAGAACATAGCCCACCCTCTTGACCAAGCACAGCATATGACAGAGACAACTGAGGCCCAGTTCACTGTGGCAGGGCAAAACTTTCCTTGGAGCATTCTATGATTTCCACAGAGAAAAAAGAACATTTTAAAACATGTAACCAGGGCGCCTGGGTGGCTCAGTCAGTTAAGCGTCTGTCTTCGGCTCATATCATGATTCCAGGACCCTGGGATCCAGCCGTGTTGAGCTCCCTGCTCAGCAGGGAGTCTGCTTCTCCCTTTCCCTCTGCCCCTCCCCCCTGCTCATGCTCTCTCTCCCCTCCCCAATAAATAAATATTTTTTAAAAACAACAAAAAAATACACTTAACCAATGTCTCTCCCTAAAATATACCGAGATACTCTTTTTTTAAAGTTCAGATAAATAGGATATTTGGATTTTTTTCCTTCTTAAAATGAATTTTCTATTATTCAAATCTGCCACTTGATAAATGGTTTTCTAGATGATTTCTGCATTATTACATTTATAAAAAATTGACAGTTTTTAAATGTTTGGTAATATTATCTCCATATGTGTTGGTTTCTATAATTACCTAATTTCACGCTGCTTTCTAAAAATTTAGTAATTATCACTTAAAGTATTTGTTATTTTTCTGTTTTCCAAATTTAACAAAGAGTAATGTCGAATACTTGAACGCATACCTTTTTTTTCCACTTTGATGAATCTTGCCTATTGTTCTAATAAGAAAAATTATCTGGAGATAGGATAGCTGCCAGATGCTCATGCTGAAACTCCCCAAATAGCCACATCTTTCATCCACAGTCTCTGCCTCGTGAAAATATGGCTGTAGGCTCAGGGACCCAAAGGGCTGGCCTACTGTGCTCTTTCCTGTTTGGGTTGCCGTCCTATGGAAAGCGTTGGCTACTCTTCTGCTCCGGTAACGTGTCCAGATACTGACAAAAACCTCATCACCAACTTCCCTGTTTTCTGTAAAAATCCAGCATTCTTTCAGACTGGTATTTCCTCCTAAGAGAATCCCGACCTCTCGTAATGCCCAGCCCCATCTGCCTTCATAATACCGGCCGCATATTCACTGAGGACACACAGACAGAATTCCATGGTAATATTTCCTACAGATAAAATCTCAAAAATCAAGCCTCAGTACTGCCCAGGCATGCAGTATCTCAAAGGCTTTTTTTTTTTTTTTTTTTTTAAGAAGAATAAAGGCAGGGGAGGCAGAATCGTTCCTAAGATGAAAGGGCTAGGGCTATTTTCCCAGAGACCTGCACTTGGGGCAGGAGAGCTCAGAGGTCTGCACAGACTGCAGGCGAGTGGGGCACGCAGGAAGGCCAACGCAGGGGGGCAAAGGGAATGACACCCATTGACCCGTGAACCTCTCCCGCATCACCACCTACAACTAGCCGTGGGCTTCCTTGCTCTGCTCAGGCAGCGGCCGACCTCCAGTGAGTTTGTTTGCTTTTCAGGCTGCTCATACTTATTTTATCGGGATTCAAATACTTCAGCCTGCAGGGCAACCAGAGGGTGGGGTGGGTGTGAGAGATGGGAAAGGAAAAGCAAAACCCAGTAGGTCTCAGGGTGGTGTTATTAAGTATGAAATTGGTGAGGATTTTCTCTCTCGCCTCTTCCTCACACACGCTGCATGGTATTCTGCAGCCTAAAGAGAACTGTTTTCCAAGGAGTAAAGCACATTCCTGGAATCTTTACAACTGTGACAGAGTCACTGTGGGACGAGCACCTACTATGTGCATCCGAGGCCCACTGTGCACATTACGGGGAATTTTGGCGCCTGCCCTGCAAAGTGGGCTCCCCGGTCTCCACTTCTTTAAGAGGAAGCTGGGTCTCAGAGAGGCCCAGGAGCCTCCCGAGGTCCTAGGGCCTGGAGGGCGCAGCACAGACCTGACCCCAAGCATGCCCTACTCCAAAGGCCAGGCGTTTGCCACCACCCCGAGAAGTAGAGGCTGGTATTCAATAGAAGGCTGTTTTTGATAAAAGAAAGGATTCAAAAATGCATTGTGTTTCCTGCTCAAAAACTAAAAAGGCCAAGTTAATACTGAAGCAGCTTCTCAAGGAAAAGAATATATTCTTGAGCTTCAATAAGAAAAGCATTAAAGCAATTGAAGAAATGGTCTACTTTTGATCTTCTGCGTTTCTGTTCTAAAGAAAAGCAATTCTATTATGTTAAGTTTCTCAAGCCTTATCATGAAAACAGTATTGTTTTCGAGGCTTAAAAAAAAAAAATCTCAAATAAAAATTTGTGGAGTTCTTTATTATTCGATACTTACGAGATGGGGAAATAGACAGTAACATTTTTTATAGATTTACTAGGTTGGAGACTGCAGTGCCAAACACAAGGTTTATTGTCAAATAAAACACTGTTTTGTTTTTTGATTGCCTGTTTTATAAGAGTGTTGCTTCTGTTCTATAATTGCGTGCACAAAATTATTTAATTTGTTTTGTTTGGATCTTATTCTGGACACTTTCCCAGTCGGAAGGATGTAAAAATTAAAACATCTATTATGTCCTTTTATATTCTGAGGTGGGTTATAAGGAGGAAAAAAGAAGAAAATATTCAAAAGACCAGGAAATACCTATTTTTAAAAAGTCTCCTTGCTTTTCAGCCCCCACGGTGCCCCTGCCATGGTCATGTGCCCCCTACACTCCCTTTTGCCGCAGGAGCAACTTCCTCCATTCCTTCCAGAAGCAACATCGTCTTTATGACACCACGCGAGCGAGCGCAGCCCCCAGTGTCATAGGGATTTATAACTGCAGTGTGATGTGAAACTCTTCAGCTCAGAGTGAAAGAATAAAGCTTGGTGCTTCTGTTAACAGCCTGGGGGATACTTAGAAAAGGGGGAAAAGGCAGGAAGAGGAAGAGAGCTTCTTGGCCGAGTACCACAGAAATGAAGTTAAATGTGGGCCCCCTTATAGTGGCTTCCATTCAAAACTCAGGTAGCCACAGAAGCCAAACATGTGGCTTCTTTTAAATGATCTGGAGTTTATTGGAGGCTCAAAACAACAACAACAAACCCCAGGCAGACTTCCACACGCTGCCCTCGGGTCAGGAGCAGGTGGTGGTGGCTTTCAGCAGCTGTGAAGCAGCTAAACATTTATTCACTGTCCCCCTGCTGCAGTGTCCCCTGGGCCCCAGCAACAACCGTCCTCAGAGGGAAGTTAAGTTTCTGTTATTATATCAGGAGTGAGAGCCAGCAGGGAGCACATCAACTAAAGAATAAATCCAGAAATTTGTTCTTCTCTAACCCCGGGCTTTGAGTAAACGTCAACTGTGAACTGGAAACACGGGGGACGGCGGGCGTGGGGCCAACCAGGAAAGGAGAGACAACTGGTGATGGATTACTTAAATAATCAAGATGTGTTCTGACCTGCAGGCCAGATGACTGCCACCCTGGGGACTCTTGGAATTAGAACCATTAGCTCTCAAGTCTGAGCATTTGTGGAGAGCACCACCAACACAGGAGAAATGCCATGAGCACCTCTTTTAAAAACAGTCAAGACAGAGACTACAGGAGAGGATGATGTCTGGCTCCAGGGCACCTGCCAGGCCCCACTTTGAAACTAGGCTAAGTTCTACTGAGCCATCTCTCACCAGACCTCCGCTTACTTACTTTCTATATTCATCATCTTTCATCTTCAAACAGAAGGTCTCCAGAACTTTCCTCAGCTCACAGGGCTGGATCAGACCAGTCTTGTTAACATCAATGAGCTTGAAGGCTTTGATAACAGTTTTAATGTTTTTGAGAATCTGTGTAGAAAAAGTGATTTCGGAAAAGTCAAAAGACCCAGTGTTAAAAACCAAAATGGTCATAAAAAAATGTGAACGTTTTTAAATACTTCTTGTAAAATAAAATGTTTTCAAAGACTCACAGTTGTAAGTATTGCAAAATGATATGTCTATGGAAAAAAAGAACACTTTGCATTTATTGAATGTTTGTAAAGCCATTTTCTCTGTAAATGGTCTTAGTAAGTTTTTAAAAAGTCTTTCTGATGTAAAGCAGTAAGTCTCATACACAATTCATTCCCTTTTAGAGCCATGTGAAGAATCTTTTTTGTTAATTGGTGCTTAAAAACTATAGTTCAGGCAGGGCTGGACTTGGATGATCTTCATTTTTCCACAGCCACATGCAAACTGTTTTTATCAGGAGCTGCAAAAAAGGACTGTACATTTCAACCCCTTTAAATTTTTAAAAAATATCATAGAAAAGTTGTATAGGTATCTTTCCCAAATTCATCAGGTGCATATTTATCAGGCACACAGACCTGAAAGGCATTTGGATCAGCCCTGTGGAGATGCTGAGTACTAAGCCATGTGCTTACCCCAAAGCTACTTGTACTTAGAGGACAGGAACATTGCTGGGCCCCACGTGTGCCAAGCATGGAGCTATGTGACTGAATCCCCCCAACCCACAGGAAGGAAGTACCATTCCCCATTTTTAGATAAAACTGAGGTTCAAGGAGGCTACATGAGTCGCACGACATCACCTGCATCGACAATGACGATAACCGGGATTCTAATGCAAGTCAACCCTTTACCCATGGCACTGGAGGAGAAGACAAGACATAAAATAAATATTCGCAAAACTGAGCTGTGGAAACGAGAGCCAGATAGAGCTGTAGGCCTTCACAGAAGAGAACAGGCACTTCCAGCCTGAGTCATCCCGGAGGCTTCCTGCAGGAGGAGGCATCTGAGCTGAGGGGTGGCTAGGGCAGGACAGGAGTGCATTCTGCACGGTGGAACATGAAGGCTAGGGATGGGACTGTGGATAAAAAATGATGAAGGTCTGGCACAACTGGGCCTCGGCAGGTCTGATTCTACTGCCCTGGACTAGGTCAAGTCCATCCCCAGTCCAGACTCGGGTCATCAGTGCCTCTCATGAAGAGGTTTGGGGGGAAAACTCTAAGATGAACAGGTTGGTTTTTTTTTTTTTCTCTTTTTATTAACATCCCCTACTTCCTCTGCCAGTTCCCTTCACTAGACTGTGCCTGACCTGGAAGGAAGCCCCGGCAGCCCTCTCCTGGGGTGGCTGCCCTCGCGCTCAAACCTGAGGAACCACGGAGCAGGTAGGAGGGGGCCACTGCTCCCTCTTCTCCCTGGCTGCTTGGACCTACGAGTGCCAGGCCTCCTGGCTGGGCCGTTGGCCCCTGACACGCCGGCCCTGCTTCCAGGACCACTCATGGCTCCCTAACAAACTCTGAGCCCAGGTATCTCAGCTCCCGGTCCTCCTCTAGGCCAGATGTCACCGTGTCATCCCCAATGACTGACACTCTCCAAAACCAAGCCCCACGCTCCAACCACCCCACCCCTCTTCCAGCTGCCTCGCTCGAGTGCAGGACCCTACAGCCTTCTCCCCAGCAGGGCCCCCACCTGCCACTCAGTTCCTGGGCACAGCTCCCCCTCGCTCCCTCCCAACCACTCTGTCTCTATAATCACCACTGCATATGCGCTCCCTCCCCCCGCCTCAGCCCTGGTTAAATCCAACTCATCTCCTATTCCAAGCACCTGATGTGGCTGCAGAGGGTGGCCCATTCAACACTTCCCTGGGTCCCCTCACTCAAGGGCACTGTGTGACCCTGCTCTACTGCGCTAGTCACTCACCACCCCCATCCAGACTCTGTCCACCTTCTCTACCCTCCCAACCTCCCTTCCCATTATCCCCTCTCCTTCCCCCACACTGAGAGCCTTGCTCCTTATTTACAGGAAAAACAGAAATGGCTATAAGACAATGGCCAATGGTCCTCCCCAGCATCTGTCTGACACCAAACCCATGTGAGGGGCCTCCCCTCCTGTTCCATGATGCTACCTACCAGACACTCATGATCCTGTTCCCCACGACCACTCATGACCCTGTCCCCCATGACCTCACTCACATCTCCCCATAAGCTGTGACCCACCAGGCCCCACAGACTGGCTCCTGGTAGCTCTCCCACCTCATCTCCCCCACTTGTCCCCTGGCTCACTACTTTCGGGCCACACCAGCCCCTCTGCTGCTCCTCCTGAGTGCCAGGCTCCTCCTGCCCGTGCTATTCTTTCTGCCTAGAACATTCTTCCCCGGATACCCACTGTCTCATTCCCTCACTTCATCCAGCTCTCAGCCCACTTGTCATCTTATCAGAAAGGCCTTCCTGACCACAAGTGTAAGTTAGGACCTCACCCCTCACACTCTGATCCTCATTTTCAGAGTACTTCTCACCAACTGATTTAATGCTCATCTTGACTGTCTGTCTCTCCCTCGGGAATGTCAGCTCCCTGGAGCTGGGTTTGGGGCTTCGGCTCCGGGGTCTGGCTCAGTAACTGAGTGAATGAGTGAATCTGTCTTCTTTTCACCTGCTTGGGAAAAGGCCACACCCTGAGGAAGCTTTGTTATACCGCCTCAGGGCCAACCCTGAATGTAAGAATGGCTCGGTCTATGATTGATGTAATAATGATTCTAATAATGTCATAATTGAACAAATATTAATTGAATGTCTGTTCTATGCAAAGCCCCATGCTAAATTCTAGACACATCTCCCACTTCTAACAACCGGGGAACACTGGCTGAAACCATCTCAATCTCCCAAACCAGGAATGGCCAGCGAGGAGGAGGGGGCAGGGCATCCACCTGCTGCAAGGCTGGCTCCCAGGGGGCCACCCACAGCCCAGTGGCTTTGTCTAAAAGAGCGGAGCCACAGCCACTGAGAGCCCTTGCTCCACGCCACACAGAACCCGCAGCACCTCACGTGCTGCCAAATCTCGATTCACCTCTTCTGGTAAAACGGAGGACATGAGGCGATGCGCTTTTTTAAACCCCCGAAGCAGCCCATATGGGTCTCCAGCGTGGAAAGCCAGGAGGCAGCGAGTCTGGCACAGAACTCACTCCCACCAGAGGTATGTCTCCAAGTTTCTTATCATTTGTCAGACTGAAGTTTGGCAAGATCTGAATTGAGCTGCAGATGGTGGGGCTTATCGAAGGCAGGAAAGTTAGGGCCACGGTGTACAAGACTTGTCCCATCCATGACAGGAGAGAAGAGAAAAGCATAAAGGAACCAAGTGGCTGGGGTCACGAGAGTGACCGTGTCCATGCCCCACCCCATTTCCCTGCTCCCTGGGGAAGGGAGGGGAGGCGGGAAAGGAAAAGGTAAAGACAGAAAAACAGGATGGCGTGGGCAGCATCTAGCTCCTTTCTAGGCCAGCGAGACGTGTGCCATTTTGGTATAAGTGGGACATGTCTGTATTAAGAGCCACTGTCTCTGAGCCTCCTGTTTACCCCCCACGCCAGCTCCAAATCCCACAATCTCGCCCCCTCCCACAGTCCCTGGGCTCTAGCCACAAGGAACTACTCAAATTCACAAGCACGGCAGGCTCTCTCGCACACGCTGGAAAGTCCTCACCAGGCCTGCGAAGTCCTACTTGTTCCAACCCTCACTACCTCTCAACCCCACCCTCCCACTCTCCCCTACTGTCTCTGCTCCAGCTGCCAGGCCTCCTTGTTCTCTCTCGCCCGTACCGCGCATGCTCATCCTCCAAGACTTTTGCACATCTGATCTCCTCCTCCTGACAGCTCCCTCCTGGCCTTCATTCAGGTCTGTCACGCTCCACCTGCTCCTACAAGCCTTCCTGGGTGGCCCACACAAAAGCCTGCACTCATCCTCTGACCCCTCACTTCCTCTTTCTCTTAGTGTTCATCTATGCCTGGACCCCTTCATATTTCTTTCTGTATCTGTTGATTGTCTTCCTTCCTCCACTGAAATGTAAACTCCACGGAGGAGGACTTGGTTTTGTTGGCTGCTTTGTCCTCAGGGCTTAGAACAGCACCTGGAGAGAGCTGGATGCTCAGAAATACCTGCAGAGTGGGTCAGCATGCTGTGTGTGCTGCCCCGACCCCTTCTCTGGCCCCGACACTGTCCCTTTGGGGGCAGGAGCCCGTGCCCTTCCTCTGGCTTTCCTAGTTACACTTCCATCCCACCGCTGAAGGCCGAACTTTGATCTTGTCAGCTGGGTGTGTTCCAGCCTGAACCAGGTCCCCAGCTCCCTATCTGGCCGCTACTCTCCCGGGCTCCATCTCTCAATCCCCACTGCTTTGTGGGAGGGAGGAGTACTCCAGAGGCACAGTTAGCAAAAGGAGAGGAGCCACTGTCTCTCACTTGCTCCCTCCAAACCCAGCACGCTGCCCCGGAAAGAAAATGTGCTCTTGCTCTCCGTACCATCCGCAGGTGGGCCGGAGAGGGGGGCGCGCCTAGCCTGGCGTCCTCGTCGCTGGAGGTCTGACCCCCTGTGCTGCATTCCACACGCAGCAGACTCTTTTTGTACGCCTGTGAGCTAGAAATGGTTTTTACATTTTTTAATGGTCAAAAAAAATCAAAAGAAGGGTATTTTGTGACATGTGAAAGGTGAATTTCAAATTTCAGTATCCATGAGTAAATGGTATTGGTGCCCAGACACGCCCGTTCATTGGCATGCGCCTCTGGCTGCTGCCCCCACAAACAGTAGCAGAGTGGGGCAGTTGGACAGAACGTCTGGCCCGGAAAGATAGCAATGCTTACTACCTTTACAGAACAAGTTCATGGCCCCTGTTCCACTCTCCCCCATGCACTCCCACTTTGATCTGAGGTGGTGGTAAGTGTTGGAGAGCTTTCTGTGCACAAACACAGTGGAAGCCCTGAGGATTTAAAAGAAAACCAAAACAATAGCTACTTACAACTTTAAATTAAAGACTTGGGAGCCAGGAAATGGGCCTGAGGCTATGAAGAAGCTGCTACAGTCTTCTCTCCCAACCATCGTCCCCATCCCCTGTGCCAGACTCAGTCCCAACACCCTCCCTCCTCCCCCCTCCCCCCCAGCCTAGGCCCAGCCAGGAGCTGCTTCCCACGCTCTCTGAGCCCCACGCCAGGCTGGGTGCTGGCCACCACAGCCCCAGCTCTGCACCCCCGCCCCCAGCTAATGCTAGCTAGTAGTCTCCCCTGTACCCTGGCCCCCGGCCCCCCTTCCCCCTCCCGGGCCCCCACTGCACCCAGCCCCCCCTTGCAGTACCACGGACCTCCAGAGCAGGGCGGTATGTGATCCTCTCCATGTCACTGGAGCCCCAGGCTGGGGAGATGCCCAAGGACAAGGGGGATGATGGGCAGTGAACCAAGCATCTAGGGAAGGGAACCACGGTGAGGACAGACTAAAAAGCCTAGATTCTCCCATCTGGACAGCAGGGCTGGGGAAAAACAGGCTGGAAAGCTTTAAGTTCTGCAGTGTGGCTACATAAGCCAGGACTCATTCACCTAACGTTTCTGGAAAAGAAATGAAGCCCTATTTCACATAGGAGTGAAGTGAAATGAGGAAGTGGGGGGGAAAACGGCAAGAGGAGCAAAATTAAAACATTCAAAAAAAGATCTAGATGAATTTATGGAGGGCAGACTCTTAAGTGCTATTACAAGAAGCAGAGAACATCTGACCTTAAAGAGTAAGGCGGAGAGATGTGGGGAAGAGAAACCTCCCCCAGGCATGATGGTGAGCCACACTGAGAACCACATAAACTGCTCTGGGCTGCAGCAGCTGCCCACCCCCACCACAACACCAGCGCTTCAACGATTCCCTCCCTCCCTCCCCACAAGGGACCTTCGGACAGTGTAGCGCATGACCAGACACTGGCTCTGAGGTGAATCCCAACTGTGTACTATTTTTCAGGTAACCTTGGAACAGTAACCTGACCACTAAACTTCAGTCTCCTCATCTGTGAAATGGGAATGAATAAGAGCACTGTGTCAGCATATGGTTGAGAGGAAATGAGCTCAGGTGTGCAAGCACCTCATGGGCAATATCATAAATGGTAGCATGGTGGGAACTGTAGACTGGGACCAAAGGCTGAGGACAGAGTTCCAAATAACCAAGTAACTACACACCCATGTCAAGAAATACTGAGTACCACTACTCCCTCCCACCCCAGCCAACTCCTCCAACCCCTTCACTGCCCCCCTGCCCAGCCCAAGTTAATAGGAGCCTTGAGAGGATGTAAGGTCTTCAGTAGGCAGGAGTCCAGAACCAAGAAGAGGGCCTGGATTAATGAATATTTATTGAAAGGATGAATGTATATATGTATGAATAAATGGACGGATGGATGGATGGTGGATGGATGGGTGGATAGATGGATGGAAGATGGCTGGCTGG